AGACATATCACTTGGGTGCCAAGCATGCAGTACACTTTCCAATCTGTTACGTATAGTGTGATAGCAGCTTTCCAACCTTTGACCCAATAAGGGCAGCCATGGATGAACCCAGGAATGAATTGGAATTGTTTCTCGACGTGGATCCCAGGAGTCCACAGCAGCTGATAACTTGGGCAAGACAATGTTTTCCAGTATTGTCTGAAGGACTACAGGAGGCAACAGCTTCTCCCAGGACTCCAAAAAACGAAGCATTGGTTCAGGGTCCCTTGCCTGCCAGTTATTGGTGCCGGATATTCTAATGGCAGGGAAAACAACTTCCATGAATATTTGAGTATAAGGAGATGCAGCATCAGAGATAGTAAAAATGTCATCCCCTTGCAAAAGATACTTCCACCTGGAAACCACCTCCATTCCATGTGTTGGAGTTTGAAGTGGATCCCATCCTTGAAAAACACGTATAAATAAAGGCTGAGCATATGAGCATGCTATGCTTGACAAGTTGCAGAGTTTGTATTCCTCAGAATACTGCTGCTGCAAATCTGCAAATGCTGCTGCAAGGGAGTCTAGGTTCAGAGTACCAGATGTGCTCTCTTCCCCAATCCGGTCCAATACACTGACAATCTCTTCCATATTATCAAGCTGCCTTTTCTGGCGAGCTGCCTCAGCTTGGAACTTCTCCTTCTCCTTCTGCAAAGCAACAACTGTTTCTCTCTCATTTCTTAAATCACTGTCAATTTTTTGTATGTCGAGTTCCGCCAAATCCACAATCAACCTAATATTATGCTGAAGTTCAGGCATTGGAACATCATTTTCCCTTGCTTTATCTTCAGCGTTCAAGTTCTCCAGATTCGTCAAGACTCGAACCTGTGGACCCCTCATATCAAAGACCTTCTGAACAACTTCCAGGCCCTGCTCCTGCTTTTTGGCTAACAACTCTTCAGCTGTAATGTAAACCTTCTTCAGTTTTTTAGCTTGCTTTGACCAAAGCTTCTCTTTTGAGTGGCCTTCCACAGGTTGAGCAGGACGAGCAACAGGCTTTCCCTCTGATTCTTGAAGAGTTGGTGCACTAGTCTCCTTATAGTCGTTGAAGCCCATTCCCATATTCTTGGGCCTAAGCTTTGCCTCGACCGGAGCCAAAATTCCTTGCTCATTTTTTCCCAACCCACCTCCCTTATAACCCATCTTCTCAAGCAACTTCATCCCAATCCCCTTGGTATGCTTCTCAAAGCCACCAACATCACCACCAGGTTCCCTTCTCCCTGATTCAGATGATTTCTTGGCCAACATAGACTTCTCCTTTTCCCTTTCTTTCTCACGTCTTAGGGCACCTTCTTTAATCATCCTCCCAAAAGCAGTGGGCAGAAAGTTTTCCTCTTCAATTTCAATCTGGGCCTGTGTTTTGGTGTATCCATCAGCAGCAATATTCTTCGAGGAACTAGTACCAAATCCAAGGCCAACAGATGCTCCGGATCCCAAACCTTTGCTCTCTTCGGACATTTTCTGGTTCTTCTCCTCTTTGAAATTGCGATCTATTTCTTGGTCGGGCATGACAGTTCCAGTTGAAACAAAGTTGACAGGTTTGGTAAGGTCAGCCTTCGTGGAAAGGCCTTTTTTCCGCTTCTTGCAGGATCCCTCATAGTCAGAGTCACTATCGTCGGAAGCAAAAACACCATAGAGGACATCATCCTTGGTTTGAACACGCTTCTTTTCTTTGCGCTTCCGGTAGTAGAACTCACCACTGATCCACTGACCATCTTCAAAATCGTTCTCCATGCCAAACCTTTCCATTTCCTGATGATCATCCATGTGGTGGAACTGCAGAAAACATGATTATACAGTGTCAGACCGCCTACAAAACAATGATCTCTATACTGGAAATTCAAAATCGGAGGCAAATCTTTGTGGAAGCCTTGAATGAGGCAAAACCATTAAAAGTTATAAAAGGTAATTGGTAACATAACCAATTAACCAATGCAACAGGCAATCCTTGGGGGACAAAAAAAAATTGTTAATTAGAAGATTCTTTCCATAATGAATTTTCCTAAGACCCTAACATAGATAAAATGCCCCTTGGATACAATATTTCTTTCCTGATAAAAAATATTAATCATCAAGTTCTCTAGGACATTGTTGATATACCAAGTAGCTGGACATGAAGAGATTATACTTCAGAAGAATTGGGTAATTGACCTAAAGTTTGTAACTTCATCCCAAAAACTCAAAACTGACAATATAAATATAAGCATTTCATCTCTTGTAGCCTTATCTTTCCCTTCCCAAACGCCCTTTCAGAGTAATCTCAGCAGATCAATCAGTAATACTGATGAGCAGATTAACGCACCCCAAAATGGCCTCCAAGGCCCAAGCTGAGTGCTTTCTAAGAATATTCAAACACAATTAAGAAATTCAGACAGCAAAAGACAATTAAGACATTCTTACAGCAAAAAGACAAACAGCACATGCTCCCCAAAGAAATCAGACAGATGCAGCCAAAAAATGAGTTATCATCATGGAGCATTAATCTCAATCACTACAGAAACCAAAATTTGAAAACGCTGCACAATTAATTTATGCAGAAAAGTGCAAGTTACAAACCAATTGAACCCTAATGTGCGATTCCAAGCTACAAAAACCGTGGACTATGCCATTACATGATATTATCCAAAAAGGGAAAAAACAGAAAATAAAAGATAAAATGATGTGAATTAAGCGCAAAAAGAAAAAGGAAGATCAAACACCACATGCTCCTTGAATGTATCGGACCAACATAGAAAATACAAAAGTTAGCACCCAGCATCAGTCTGAGCCACATAAAAACTAATATTTCCGGGGAAAAAAGACCTAATGAGGATTGATTTCCCACCAACTCTATGCATACAACTGCAAGAACATGACAAATAAACCCTAAAGTACAATATCTAGCTCGAACAATCAAAATTAAGCTGTTACCAAATCTCATCCAAAAAGAACAAGAACATAAATAAAGAGAAGCTAAAAAATGATTCTATTTCTATATCAATAAAAAGTAAGCCCGAATTAACTTAAACAAAAGGAAAAGAAGAAACAATACCTTGAGGGAAAACCAATTGCAGGGGCAAACAAATCACAGCAACTCAGCGTGAAACCAGAGGAAAGATTCTCGTTTTACCGTGTAGCAAACTCAAGAACCCTAGAATCATATGATTTTTCGATAGAACAAGCTCAAACCTCAAAACCCTAGAGAGAGGAAGGAGGAGCAAATGAAGCGGCGGTCTTAGAGAGAGAGTCAGAGAGATTTATGGCAATCCGTTTACTTATTATACGAAAATAGAAAAAGGAACGAAGGGACTTTTCAAAGTCGGTGATGAGGTTTTCTTTAAACGAAAATAGAGTGGGACTTTTCACTTCAATTCAGAAACATATTCAACAAAAGAAACATTCAAAGAAAGAAAATAGAAATTAGGGGAATTTAACAGAACAATAAGAAATATCAGTGGAGAAGTATACCTTTGGTATCCACACGGAGGCTAATAAGAGGAATGACAGTCGAGAAATTGAGGGCGGAGGTAGTACGGCGACCGGAAGATGGAAATGAAGATTTAGGGTGCAGTTGGAGTTGCCTCACGTCTAGGGGAATGTCATGAATAGGGCGCGATCCCACCTAACGTCCACTTAGACAAATCCACGAGTGAAACTACAACTTAATTACCCCTTTTTAATTACCCACAAGCGAAAATAAAAGTTCCTTTTTAGAAAAACCGAAATAAGATCTCATGCAACTATAGATACTCTTTTTTTCAATAAAATACCAGCGTAATAAATACATTCACTATAATAATGACAGTAATAATAAGCACATCAGTAAGTAAATGTTAAAAGCCCCGAAAACCCAATGCGACAAGTGTATGAACAATCTAGAAAATATACAAAATTAATACAATTATTGTATGAAAGGTAATAGACAGAAATAATAAACAAGGCATAGGGAGACCCCGGTGCTGCAAATCGTAACAATGCAAGCAGCTCACCACTAAGACTCTGTAAAAGGTCGACGTGTGACCACTGGTACTACCTGTCTCAATACCTGCTTATTTCGTGCAAAAGTGTAGCATGAGTACGAAAAACAACGCGTACCGAGTAAGTATCTAGTCTAACCTCGAAAAAGTAGTGATGAGGGATCGACTTGACACTTACTAGAGGTCAAATAATAATATAAATACATAAAGTAGACATGGTGAGTGTACAAGTAGCAACGAAGCAAATAAATGTAACTACAGTAATTCCACACAGGAGTCTATATCAAATCACTAAACATATCATAACCGGTCGTGAAGGCGCTAACTCAATTGTTACCAAACCAAATCCAGTTCCAATTATTAAGCATGAAGCTGACGAGACGAAGGCCCGATCCCTTAGGAATAGTGGTATTCAGTACTGTCGAGGCGAACGGTCTGATCCCATAAGAATAGTATTACCAACTTGCCGAGGCGAAAGGCCTGATCCCATAAGAGTAGTGTTACCATCCTGTTGAGGAGAACGGCCTGATCCCATAAGAGTAATTTATTTCACTGCCGAGGCGAATGGCCGGATCCCATAAGAGTGGAGAAATTTACCTCGCTCGTGGAAACACTTGCGAAAGGAAAAGACATGGATCTATAGTGTATCAAGTACTCCCAATTTTTCTAAAGTAAGAGACTAAGTTTATATCTTTAATTAAAATCCTCAATCTCAGTCCTAATCAAGATAATTAATACACACGATATGCATAAAATAGCAAAATTAAAGGCATAATGCGAATTTAAGTCTACTCGGACATATTGTGAATATAGCTATGTCGGGCTCTCGTCACCTCGTGCATATGTAGCTCCCCTCAACAAGTAGCACACAATAATTAATACATCTAAGGGGAAAAGTTTACACTTATAAGGTTAGGCAAGAGACTTACCTCGGTTCCAAGTCCCCAATCCGGTTCTTCAACCTCACTAGAACTCCTCAAACGACGTCGAGGACTGAGAAACTAACCAAAAGTTCTATAAACTACATAAATATATGCTCAAAAGTTTATAATTTATCTATTAGAGTAATTATCCAACCTAATTTGGAAGATTCCTAAAATTCACCCCAAACCTACATGTCCGAATTCTGAAATTTTTCGAATATAAATGTTACTCTTGACCTCACGAACTCAAATATATAATTTATTTCCAATTATATAATAAATTGTTCTCAAATCTTACTTTCACCAAACCCTATATTCCAACAAAATCTCACTATTTTTCCTTTAATCTCACGTTAAATCTACCCATAATTCGTGCATTTAACTCAAGAATTGATATGGATCACTTACCTCTTGATGTTGAGGAAACTCCTCCACAAAATGCTCTCAAAATCGCCCAAGACAAAGTGGGAAATGAGAGAAAAGAGACTAAGTTTCGTAATAAAAACCAAGTATGTCTGGTGATCTCTTCTTCGCGATCGCGGAAGAAGCCTCACGATTGCGAAGGCATAACTGGCCCAGGTAGTGAAGTCCTTCTTCGCGAACGCGAAGGAAGTCTTGCAACCGCAAAGGCTTGCCCAGCCTGAGCTTCACGAACGTGGTCAATCCTTCGCGAACGTGAAGAGGAAACATAACTGACCCATCCCAAGTACTTTGTTCTACACGAACGCGGGCCGTTATACGCGAATGTGAAGGCTACCAGTCCCAGACCTTCGCAAACGGGGCCCTATGAATGCGAATGCGAAGGGTAAAATGCCCAGCCCCAATTCCTTCTCCGCAAACGCGACTCCACCTCTGCGTTCGCGAAGAAGGGAACAAGAACCGGCAACATCATATTTTTAGACTTAGCTCTGGGTGGTCCGAAATTCACTCGAGCCATTTGGGACCCCGACCAATCGCACCAACAAGTCCATAAATATAATATGGGCCTGCTCGAACCCTCAAAACATGTAAAACAACATCAAAATCAAGAATCGTACCCCAAAACCAACTTGAATCAACATATGAACTTCAAACTTTCAATTAGCTCTGAACACATTTGAAAAGATACCAAATTTTGCGTACAAGTCATAAATCACCATATAGAACTATTCCCAGACTCGGAATCTCAAACGACCTCAATAACACTAACGTCTACTACAAACCAAATTTAAAGAACTAGAAAACCTTCAATGAACCAACTTTCTACATTAAGCACCGAAACGCTCCTGGATCATCCGAAACCCGATCCAAACAAATGCCCAAGTCCAAAATCATCATACTAACCTATTGGAACCTTCAAAGACCGGTTCCGAGGTTGTTTACTCAAAATGTTGATTCAAGTCAAACTTGGTCACCTTAGCACACTATTAAGGAACTAAGTATTCTGATTTCAACCCGAACCCTTCCAAACCTAAACCAACCATCCCCGAAAGTTATAAAATAGTAAAAGTACAAATAGGGAGTCTTAATTAGGGGAACGGAGATCTAGTAAGCAAAACGACTAGTAGGGTTGTTACATTCTCCACCTCTTAAATAAACATTCATCCTTTAACAGGTCCATAATCATACCAATAGTGCTGATAAGTGAGAATATCTGCTCCTCATGTCCTCCTCGGCCTTCCGAGTTGCTCCCTAGACTAGTTGACCCCTCCATTGGTCCTTTACCGCATAAATTTTCTTGAACCTCAACTGGCGAACCTGCTTATCAACAATGGCAATTGGCTCCTCCTCATAACCTAGACTCTCATCTAGCTGAACCATGTGGTAATCTAACACATGCGATATGTCGGCATGGTACCTCCGGAACATAGACACATGAAAAACTGGATGAACTCCGATATTCTGGGAGGCAAAGCAAGCTCATAAGCAACCTCCCCAACTCGCCTCAGCACCTCAAATGGGCCAATAAACCTTGGGCTCAGCTTACCCTTCTTCCCGAACCTCATGATACCCTTCATTGGCGAGACTTTCAAGAGAACCTTATCCCCCACCATAAATGATAAATCACGCACCTTCTGATTAGCATAGCTCTTCTGTCTGGACTGTATTGTGCGAAGCTACTCCTAAATCAACTTTACCTTCTCCAAGGCATACTTCACTAAATCAGTTTCATATAACTTAGCCTCGCCTAGCTAGAACTATCAAATGATTGAATGACATTGCCGACCATATAAAGCCTCAAATGGAGCCATCTCAATATTGGGCTGATAATTGTTGTTGTAAGCAAACTCGACCAAGGGAAAGAATTTATGCCACTGACCTCTGAAGTCAATGAAACATGCTCTGAGCATATCCTCTAGAAGCTTATAGAGCCCTAGGTTACATAGATTTCACCAGTCATGAGCAAGCTTAATAAAGTTTGAGGATTAGTTCGAAGATGTTTATACTTATCTTCTAGAGGCTATAAGGCTTTATGAAACTTCATTATCTTTCTTTCTCTAACGTGCAACTTTGTTCTATCATAAGTTTCAATCATTCTTCTCTTCTCTCACAGATGGTAAGGGCAGGTGCGTCATCCATAGTTGATCAGGAGCAAGAGCCCCAGATTGCAGCCATTATCCAAGGTAAGGGTCGGGGCCGGAGAAGAGGTAGAGGTAGAGCTCAACCTAGGGCATGTGCAGCGACACTCGTTGTCAAGCTTCAGGTAGCGCGAGATGATGAGATACCCATTTTGGCTGAGCTAGTCAGACCAACTCAAGTCCTAGAGGGGTTCTATGCTACCATAGTGCTTCCGGACACCATTTTGGGTATTTAGAATTTAGTGATAGAATAGGGAAAAAACTGACGAGATTATGTGTACATTATAATTTTCCGACGAAGGAGGTTCAGGTGAACCCATTTGCCCCCTCTAAGTCCTCCTGTGACTATAACAACAAATTCATAAACTATATTTTGTCATATTAAAGTACTTGAACTTTATCCAGTATAATGGTAAAGTCACTCGAACATCAACACAGAGACAGGATGATATTCACCATATCTCTACAAGCTTGTAAAATTTTAAATTCACCATACCTCTATAAGCTTGTAAAATTTGTAAATATCCTCAACATATTCCACTTCATCCAAGTGATTATTGTCACACCTCCTTCTTCCGCCCCCGCGGGGGTACGTAGGGAGTTTTTTCCAATTAAAGGACAATCGAAACGGGATTTATTTATTTATTTCAAAGTCGCCACTTGGGAGATTTAGGGTGTCCCAAGTCACCAATTTTAATCCCGAATCGAGGAAAAGAATGACTGTTTAACAGTCTGCGCACCAGAAATCCGGATAAGGAATTCTGTTAACCCGGGAGAAGGTGTTAGGCATTCCCGAGTTCCGTGGTTCTAGCACGGTCGCTCAACTGTTATATTCGGCTTGATTATCTGATTTTATACAAATATGAACTTATGTGCAAATTTTATCTTTTTACCGCTTTCATAATTGTTATTATTATTTTTACAAGAATGTGAATATCGTTTAAAAACATATCTTTGGATTGCGTTACATAAAATGCACCCGCGATCCGGAACGTATTTTTATTCAATGTTTTAGGATTTGGATTTGGGTCGCATAAATGCGCACCCATGTTTAAGAATGTATTATTATTAAATCGTGCCTAAAGCGATTAGCGTATTATTATTTATGGGTAAGACTATGGAATTCACTAAACAGTCAATCCCGAATTCTAAATACTCAATTAAATATT